AGTGTGACAAGAATAGGGAATGGCCACTGTAAGTGGCTAATGTGTGGAGGGGGAGGGTCCTAGAGATAATCGAGCGCGCGTAATTAAACGCTAGAGCAATGATCAAGCGATCTATCGACTCGTTCTTCTGACCTGCGGCTAGTGCCAGAGTCTACAGTATCACAGTCGATGATTCAGAGTCAGGTTTGTGTGGCGAAAAAGGCCCAAACCCACCATTTTCGGGAAGACTGGCTGCGAGAATTCAGCTGGTTGAGGTTCTGTAAGGAGACGAACTCCATGAACTGCGAATGTTGCAGTCGCTACCTTGTTCAAGTGTAATGTTATTGGCCAGTGCCCCTAATGTCTACATACATTTGTTAAAGTATTGTTTGTAACTGTGAAATGACCGAAAGGTTACTAAGCATTTTGTTACTAAGCACTAGGCTTGCTACAATAGTCGGTGTTACCGGTGTTCAGAAGCAACACCGGTTACATCTCTTGCCCACCGCAGCACCGCAGCCGACTGTCGATTTGATTTTTTTTTTATAAAATCATTTAGTTCAGTTAGAGAACAGACACAATTAAACTGAACATGTCGTCTTAATAAATCGTGAGCCGAACGAGAGTCGCCGCACAGATCAGCAACAGCAACATTATTCTTAATGAAAAACACTACAACAAATCAGTGCAATGACAAATTCGCTTAAATAGGCGCTTTTACATTTCGCTTTGACACCAAATATTCCGCAGTGATACCAGTATTACCGGTGTTGTCACACGTCGATTAACCGGTGGGAAAATATCCTCACCGTCACATGCCTACTAAGTAAGCACTTTTTTTTATTCGGAATGTATGGTATATTTTTTTCATATTTGTACTGTCATGACAGCGATGGTGCTGTCGGTTTACCTTGTTGTCGCATCTTCAAAAGTGCACAATAAAATGTGACAGTGAATTTGAAACAGCACATTGTATTTTCTGTATCTATTATCAAAGTATTTATTAGTAATACAGTGGGAATTAGTAGAAATGTGAATATTTGGTTAGCATGTTGATTTACGGTGTGTGCCCCGAAAATTTTCATTTGGGGGCCACTGTGCTCCTAGTGAAAAAAGTTAGTCTGGAGCCCTGTAAGCTCAGTGTTTTGGTTCAGGAGGAACTGTAAAAGGTGGCTGCTGTTTCTGTTGCAGTGCTCGGTGACTGAATGCAATGATTGGACGAACATTTTATGATCCTATGCCCTCCACAGACATTACATTTAGACCACTTAACTTAGTGATTGGTATTAGGATGTGAAGAGACTTTCAACCAAAAAAAATTTCAACCAATTGTTTAAAAAAAAAAAATCACAGACCCTGCCTTTAAATTTGACAGTTAGGGCGAATACAGGTAAAGTGGGCCATCAGGTCAAGTGGGCCATTTAAGTTTGATTGTACTGTGCTCAATGGGTTTTCACTTTCAGAGCATGACAATGGTTAAAGGTAGAAAACCCTCTGACATAAGATTTTATTTTAATTATAAAGTTGCTCACTAAATGTAAACAAATATTATTGTAACAGTTCCTGTTTTGTTTGTTACTACAGTTAACAGAATCAAATGCAAAGAATAAAATGTTTAAAAATGTGTTAGTTTTCTTGTAAGGTGTTGTAAAGTGGGCCAGTGGGACTTTGGTAAAGTGGGCGACCTTTAACCTTCAGTAATTAAACTCAAATTCATTCAATAAATTGACATTCACTGGTTATTTTATAGTTGACATGTATAATCTACTTTTTAGGAAACAGAAATTAGTGTCATTAGGACATTCAAGTCAGAGATGGAAGAAAGAAAAGAAAGAGCATTAAGTTTAATCTGTGGAGTGAAGAAAGAATGAGAGGAGCAAAATGTAGATGCAGAATATCTAATGCTTTAAAATATGGACACAATTTAAGTTCATTTAAACTGTTTGTATGATGTTTTCTAAGCGGCCGATTGAAATGACACACAAATATATTCTTAAAAAAAAGAACTACAGATTATAAATTAATTCAAATATCTTGGCATTGTATTAGATCCCACACTGTCCTTTAAAAATCATATCAAAAGGCTCTCAAAAACTGTTAAATTTAATCTTGCTAACTTTAGATATATTAGAGTAATTAGACCATCACTCTTATGTAAAGCAGCCAGAATGTTTCTTCATCCATGATCCTTTCTCATATTGAATATTGTTTTACAAACTGGTCACTCACAAACGCCACAACACTCAAACCAAGAGTCACTTTTCAAAGGAGCCTTTGATAGAAAACAGCTCTCATATCATCACTGCTTAATACTGCAGAAAATATAACCTGCTAAGCTTTGAAAATGTTCTGTATTTCAAATATGCCTGTGCTATATACAAGATCCTACATGGACTTGCCCCACCCCCACTAAGTGAATATATTAAATTGAAAATAACGGGTGGTGGAAGAACTGTAACCAGGGCCTCCACGAGAGGTGATTGTATGGTGCCTTACAGACGTACAACATTTGGACAATATGTATTTTCAATTAAGGGGTCAGAGATCTGGAACAAGTTACCGGCTGCCGTGAGGGAAAGTCCGACTTACCCCAGCTTTAAGAACCAACTCAAACAATGGCTCAAGACACATCAAATTTGTGACCACTAGCGGTCTTTGTTGTATTTTATGTGTATGGGTTTGTTCACTGTTGTATTGTTTAAGTATATGTATGTATACCATACCAGATCCAGCACTTTACTGCATTGAATAGCACTTTAACATAATTAAAATGTACTTAATGTACATAGAATAGCACTTTTCTGTGTATGTGTATATGTGTGTCCGCCGTACTAGATGCCCTGTCTGCTAACTGTGGTGTCTTGTATAACATGTTGTTGAAAACTGTGGCGTCTTTTAAATTGTGTTGTATCGTATTCAATTTCAATGTTTAGCTGTGTTACTTTGTACTGTGATGACCTGACGGGGGACTGCAGATGTAAAATAGCCTTTGGGCAAATTCTGGCATATTTACATTGCTGAAAAGCTAAGATGTCCATTAATATGCACTGTCCCTTTTAAATAAATAAATAAATAAAATAAAATAAATTTACAATATGGTTACCATTTCAAATGTTCCTCTTATTGAATTTGTGTTAGCCTATTTGTAGTTGCATGTGTTGTAGTCCCCTTTTAATATGCTTTAGAGTTCATTTTCATCCATAGTCTGATGTCTGAATATTCTGATATTCAGACTTCATCAAGTTTGATGTCATAACAACATGTTCTATCAGTTGTTTTAAATTTTACACATGCATTGAGAACGGATGAATATTACTCGTCATAGCCTGTTTTGGGGTTTGTAAAATGTGTTGTGGAATATGTTTGTTAATATGTGTTAATAAATCATGTATTTTTAATTAAGATAGGCTACAGGATAATTTTTGATAAATCAGGGGTGGCCCACTTTACCAGACCAGGTGGCTCACTTTACCTGAAAAGAAATTGGTCTGGATGACAAATCCAGACAAATGTAAACCCTGTAAAAATCCTGGATCAGAAATTTTTAACTGAATCATTGAAAAAGTCGTTGTGATTACTAGGAATGAAACAAACTTACCAATTCTTATGTTTAAATCAGAAACGCTGAAACATGTTGGTGTCCTGTCCAGCTGTGATACAAGAAATAACTGTAATTAATGACTTTAGAAAATAAATAAAGATACATAAAAAACAATAATGATATATTGTGTTGCTTAGTGTTGTTGTTGTTGGCAATTGTTGTTAAAATCACTGCCATACAGGTGTTGCTTGGTTTCACATCGACATAAAAGCATCTCTTCTCAAAAAAAAAAATCTCAAAAACAATTTTAATGTTTAATAATAACTAATTTTAGGTGGCAACACCTTAAGAGTCAGAATCGTTAGCTTTGTTGACTCAGAAATTAGCATGCCAATTAGTCTGTTAATGACACCATTATAAAAAAAACTTATGTAGGCTGGTAATTTAAACATATATGATGACACTATTAACTATTAATCGTTCAAATATGTGTGTTTGTGTACTTCCTCTACCTGAATAAGCAGAAATAAACATGAGGTCAATTCTGAGGTAAATAAATATTCCAGTCACTCTCCCATGAGTCTCCCGCGTGCCACAAGAGTAAAGACTGTGCATCCGGTGCGAGAGCGGATGTAGTAATATTTACTATGGCATGTTCATTAATATAATTATAAATTATTACTATTAATGATATATTACTGAGACATACAGTAACAACGACGAAAAATGTATATATATATTAATTAAAAGTTGAATAAACATACACGCATTACAGAGTATACAGCGACCCCGTGTGGTAACCAGGGAAAGTTTCACAATTGTTAATGTGGCTCATAAAAAATGTGGATGCACTATAATAACAGAAGTTTCAAGATCTATGGATACAAAGTTGAGCCCGGTTATGAAATAATATACTGTGGCCTATACATTTCTGTGTTTACGCTAATAGGCTACATTTAACGACCACAAATCATTCCATATTTTGTAAACATTTATTTAGTGCTTTTCTGGAAATTTTTAGAACTATAGGCTATATTATTTCATATTTAGTTATTATTTAAGTGTATTATATAATTATAATAAGAAGAATAAATAATTATTCTTATGCTAATGAGGAACCTGGAAATCAGTGTCAGGGAATTTTAAAGTAAATTGTGGATTCTTTACCTACAACATACAAAATCAGTGCAAGTCAATAGATTGTTCTAATTATACTTAAGTCCTAAATTAATAAAAATGAAATAAAAATGATAGACGGACAGTTGAGCGGAAGTAGCCAGTTCTGTCGCCATGGCAACGGAACTCCTTTCTGTTAACAAGTTACAGAAGTCACAAATCTGACAAACAGGTAAATCGCAGCTAACTTTTCGTAGTGAACTTACTCGTGTCTGTTTTAAATAATTTGCTGTCACAAATTGTTGTTAACTGCCATTAGCGGAATGTAAGTGATTCTAACTTGTTTTCACATGTGTAATAATAGTAACCCGCAGCATGTCTTCAGCAGTG